GTTTTCTCGATGTTTACCTTTCCCTTCATATGGGATAAAAAATGCTCGATGGCAACTTCATTGATTTCATTATCAGTTGATTGTTCAGCCGGTTGTTTCATGGAGGTGAGAAAAGAAATATATTTTTTTATGATTTTTGCACCCGCCGCGGTTGCAAACCTTTAGTGCCTACGTACCACCTTTTCGTACAATAGGGGATCAGGGTACACATAGTTCCTCTTTTTAAAACACAAATGCGTTGGTTAATTTTATGAGATAAAACATCATCGTCATTGTTCGTGTGGAAAACATACTTACCACCCACAATCATGAGAGAGGAGAATTTGCATCATCTCAAAGTGGAGGATATGGCTTGAATTTTAGAATCAATAATGCCTCACTCAACACCCAAGTGGAAATATCTCTCCTCACTACGTATTGTAGAAGTATAGTTGTTTGCATCACTACAAGGATTAACAAGAGTCTAATCTTTTGAGAAAAGTTTAAGGATAAAAGCCAAAGTGGCAAAAATAGTTTAAAATGAGATTGATTGACTTTTAGTCTTCTCACAAAATGGATGTCAAAGTATTATTAAGTTTATTGGAGTTTATTCATGAAAATGTTTGAAAATGCATGGACCTAAGTCCAAGTTTATTATGGAAGTGGTTCAAGTTTAAAACAAGAAGAGTTTTCAAAAGGAGGGAGAAAATTTTTGAAATTAAAGAAGATGGGAGGAGAAGAAGAGGCTATCCTAAAGCATAAGGTAAAATCTAGGGATAAGAACCATCTAACCAACAAGAAGCCAAAATTTGACACTATGGGCCAAGATAGAATTCCCATTCTTTGGATTGAAACCAAACAAGCAAAAATACTAGACCTCTTGAGAGAACCAAACTTCAAGTGTATTAAGTCTTCATAAAGATTGGGCAGAGTAACAGTTGTATACAGGTGAATTCCAGATTACAAACAAAGAGTGTAATCACAATAACCTGCACACAAAACAAACAAACAACCCAATGTCTTGAGGTAAACCTCAAGAGCTCCAGGCAAAATAATCAGATAAGATCACAAGGTCTCCAATCATAGGCCAAGGTTTCTAATCCTAAGTCCAAAAAGTCCAATGCTCCATAATGCCAAGGATAGTAACCAAATAGTCCAAGTATTATTAAGGATTTTTAGGGTTTGTGTTTATTATTAGGTGTTTTAAAAAGAAAAGAAAAACTCAAGTGAGCAAAATAAAAAAATGGCAAGAAAGTAAATACTCAAATGAGCAAAAATGAAAATTGCATGAAATATAAATGCTAAAAGTAAATAATGCATAAAAATAAAAGGGGAATATAATAAAAGAATAAGGGATAAAGTCAATTATTAGTGATTAGTGGTTAGTTGGATGATCATCTTAAAACTTGCATTTGGAACTCATTAGAGGATTGGTAGAACCAAAGCCTCCATACAACAAGTTGCATTTGCTTTTTGTCAAGCATATCATCCATTTGGAATCCTTATGAGTATAATTTAATGATCAACGATGTTTAAGTGATCCACGTTGCCCAAAGGTATTATAGATCCATTAGAGGATTGGTAGAATCAAAGCCTCCATACAATAAATCTCAAGGTTATTGGATTAAAGAGATCAAATTAACATACTTCAGTTTGCAAACATAAGTTTGGGCCACGAATGATTATTTATTCGAATTAGGATAAAATTTAGCGCTATGTTAAGCAATCGTAAGTGGACTTATATAGAAGTCGCACCTATTTTGAGGCCAGTCAATAGCAATCTATGCACCATTTGTTTTGAGACATGATATAGAAATCATGCTCCAACAATATTTAGTGCAATAAGAAGGGGATGAGATGGAGAGGGGTGGGAGAGAATATACAAACCACTTTTGGATTAAATTTAATCAAACTATTATTAAAATCATTCATCCATTTTTGTGGAGTTAGACTCAACACCATGGATCCAATGATGTTTATAAAGTTCATGATCAAAAATTTTACCCAAGATCAATCAGAAAATAGTCACAAAATAATATTACATTTTAATATATACAAAAAGGTTTAAAAATAGAAATAAAAGAGAAAAATATCAACTATATTCAAATTAATTAAGAAATAAAAAGTAAGACCATAGAAAAATCAGAAAAGGGCTCAAATGATTTTATAAATTTTTTTGGTAATTTTTTAAAGTCAGAAACTATTTTTAAAATTAAAAGAAAGGGGTAAAATAAACCAAAAATGATAAAAAAAACAAAAAAGCCAGAAACAAAAATAAAATAAGGTCACAAATATTTGTCACAATATCATTGGATCATTTCGTAATTTTTTCAAAATTTAAAAATTCATAAAAGTATTTTTAAACATTTAAAACAATTCAAATAAAGTGTAAATTTATAAAAAAAAAACAAAACACAAAATTAAATTGTGAAAAAATAAAAATCAGAAAGAGAATAATCAAAATATTTTTCATAATTTTTTCAGAATTTTTAGACTAAAAATTGATTTTCTATGATTTTTTGAAGTTTAAAACAATTAAATATAAAGTCAAAAAATAAAATAAAAGTAAAAAATATGCGGACCATTGGATGAGAGTCAAAACGCGTTAGTAATCAAATCCAAGGTATCTGGTGCGTTGTGTATATCATGGTCATTAGTGAATAAAGCACTGAATCAATTATTAAATCAGAATTCAAAAATAACAAGTGGCGTGCCATCATTGGTTGGAAGATGACACGTTGGTCATCTTCAACCTCCAGCCAACGTGAATTGCAGGTCTCTTCAACTGTAAAATCAGAAGCTCAGACCTATGTCATTCGCTTCGTCTTTTCAAAGCGAAGACAACCACACCCTCGCGCCAAATTTATATAAACTGTAGCTCAAGCAATTTGGAAAGAAAGTTTTGAAAATGGATTTGAAATTTCATGGTCAAAACGTGTTTCCAGTAAAAATCAAGTGTTGCAACTTAAACCAGGACAATGTGAGCATCACAATGATATCAAAGTTTTGAAGAATTGGTGAAGGAATATACCTATTAAAGTTGAGTTGCAGAGCTCTGAAACTGGACTTCTATGGAGCAATATAGGGCACTATTCTTGAATGTAATTATATGGTTAGCTTCAGGGAAGATCAAGGAAGGTGAATTGATGAAAATAATTGATTAAAAAAAGGCTTGTATATGGATTTCGAAGTTGTTGAATTCTGAGTTATGGAACAAGTTTGGCAGGGTGATTCTGGCTATCCAAGCTTGAGAAAATGAATGAGATAGTTCATGTATTTATAGGAGAAGCAAATGGGATCAAAAGGAAGAGTGAATGATGCATTTTGGAGGGAATTCGTGCAAATCTGATGCACGAGTGAAGTGTGATATTTTTTTCACCAAAACTCATCCAATCCTTGTGTTTTGAGGTGCTAAACACTTCTGGCAAGTTTGTTAATCAAGTTTAAATAAAAAACGCGTATAAATCTTGTGTTTAGAGGCCACATTATGGATTTCAAAACTCTGACTTGGTGAGAAATTCAGTTTCAAAGTGCCAACTTCTGACCAATAGCATTTTCAACTCAAGGGGTCTTAGGGCATGGTTCTTGATGCCTTAGAAATATGAGGTTACAATCTTTGCAATAAAAAAAGAATGGAATCAAATGGATGCTTGAGCTGAAAGTTGTGTTGAGTCAAAGTTGGAGAAAAAAAGTTTACTTTCCATACTTAGAAATATTTCAAACTTTTCTTTAAAAGTGACCTATAATGTCTTGCATCCAAACATAGCCTTAAACTTAGAATTTTCTCTTGACTAAAAAAGATGGCACAAAGTAGATCTCTTGAATGATATTTTGGGACTTGAACCATTCAAAATCTCCAAAAATTGAGAGAGTTATGAATTGTTGAAGTTGGCAAAAAAATCATGAGATGACCTATAATCTTTTGTATTCTTAAGGAAATTTCCATCCACTTTCTCACTTTGCATATAAAAGAAGGCATAAATTTCACATCTTTAAGATCATTATGGAAAAAGAATAGGCTCAATGTGATAAAAATTGACCAAGTTATGATCATTTGAAGCCACACATGAAAAATTGGGGATTCATCTGGAGGACTTGTAATCTTTCTTCCTCATCAAGTTTCTTCCACATGAAAAATCCTTGGAACTTTTGAAGTGATTTGTTAATAACCCTTTGAAGAGAATGATGTCTTTGGAATAACTCAAAAATACCAAAAGATGAGCAAAATATACTCCTTTGAAGTTCAAAACCCTAGCTCATAGATTAAGAAACATGCCTTGAGGAACTTTGACAATTTTGAACAAACTTCTTGTACCAAAACAAATTCTTTGTAAATATAAGTTGTTGAGGATGATAATGAGAAATCATAGCAATCACAAACACTTCCATATCTTGAGAATTGAGAGAAATATACATTTGTAACCAATGGGAACAAAGCCTTGTCCAAGAATGACAACTTCTTCAATCAATCCCTTGTGCTTTTCAACCAAATTTGATAACCTTAAAATGTGGTGAACCAAAATAACCTTGCCATGCCATTTCTTCCAAAACAAATCCAATGGTGAAGTTTGAACTTCTCAAGCTTTATTGACTAGGGCATGGAAATAAACTCATGAACCCATGGAGCAACTTGCTGAATCTTATTGCCTTTACCTACATGAGTAACAAGCAAGACAAACCAACATTGCATTTTATTAATTAAAATAATAAATCAAGACAAAAAATATTCATGATCACAAAAGAACACAAGTCAAGGTGCTTGGTGATTCCTCAAAGAGCAAAGCTAAATATAGGGAGGGGAACCAAGAATCCTAATGTTATCTTGTTGTGAATGAATTAACATGGTATGATGAAGGGATCTTAGGGGCGAAAATTGGGGTACAATACCTTGCATTTGTGGAAGCATGATTAACATCCATCTCATTGCGCTCAGAGAGAAGCTTTTCAGAGACATACGAGGCAAATGCTTCAAAGTTGGTGTCTTGTGTTGTCATGTGCTCATAAAGAAGACGAAATCATTTCTATTGAGCTACCTCAAAAGCATCTCGCCTACGATAATCCCCCTCGTAGCGCTCATCTTGCCTAACCTGCATGTTTTGAAGCATAATAATAATGAAAAAGTCATTTCCATATTCAACACCATTCTCACTACCTTGACCAACCCCTGTTCATCATCTTGCATATCTGCATCAATCTGTGGAGCCCCATGAGGAGTATTAATAGGTTGATCATCAACCATATGTGGCTCAGTAGCAGCATCAACAAACTCAGCAGAGTCATCAAAGTTATAGATTTTCTTACCATTCTTGCTAACACGAAAGTAATACAAATGACGATCTTTATCCAAAAAGTATTCCATGTTGGTTAAAGTGCACTGAGAGAACTCTAAAGCCATACTAGGTGATCTATATTGAAGATTTAGAATCCCGATGTTGAAGTGCTTGAGGATTTTAAAAATCATGGAAACGTAACAAAATGACGTTCCTTTATTACAATCTTTGATGCTAAACATGCGAGAGACAAAGTAATTTATCCAATTAATCTAGATTTTGTGAAGAAGGATGTAGACAAGGTGGAATTCAGGTTGATCGACCCTTGAGTGACCACCGTTCTTTGGGTGTAACACATGAGAAACAAGACAATTCAAAATTCGAGGGACTTGTTTCAAAAGACCAGTTGTTACGGGTTCAGACTAGCCTTTGGTCTAAGGAGCCCTTAACATTTCATTTGTATGAATGCACCGTTTAAAATCTTTATGAAGATTGTTATTCATCATCAATGATTCAACATCAACATCAACATCAACATCAACAACAATGAAGATTGTCAAATGCATTAAAAAAAATCAAATTTACTTATAAATATGACTGAATGGTATAAATCAAATCAAATATCTAAATTACTAACCATAAAAAAACATTAATTAGCCAATCACCAAACAACTCTAATCTCATAACAAAACAATTATTTTTTACTAACTTTCCATTTCAATAAAATTTAGACAAAACTCTCGGACAATATCACCTTTAATATAGACCCAAATTTTCTCAAAAAAAAAAAACAACCAAAATCTTCATAAACTATTCTTGAATTACATAATTTCCTCATCTTGTCTTTTTAGTCCTAAATTCTTTAGGAGTTTTGTACAATCCCTAACACACACATAAACTAGAGAATGACAATTAGACCATTAATTATACCTCTAATTATATCCATCCTAGTTTCACTTCATTAAAAGAAGCACTTTCTTTTAAATCCCTAAGAAAAAGAAAAGTACTAGTAGAGTATTTATGGTTATAGATTATTGACAATAATTAAATACTATACTATAGTACTAGTAGTATTAATTAAAATAAGCAAAGCAAGTATGTTAGTGTTAAGTGAGCCGTGTGATTAACCGTAACCCAAAAGTAATAAATGAGTGAAACGAATCCCACAATATCTCAACTAAATGTTTGTCAGAAACAAGGCACGACTGGTTGCACAAGGTTATAGCCAACAAGAAGGAATTGATTATAATGAAACCTTTGCCCCAGTCGCCAGGTTAGAATCAATTAGATTGTTAATTTCTTTTATTGTTCAACACAACATCTCATTATATCAAATGGATGTTAAAAGTGAATTTTTAAATGGTTACATAGAAGAAGAAGTTTATATCCACCAACCTCCGGGTTTTGATGACTCAAAATTTCCAGAACATGTTTTTAAACGGAAAAAGTCTATGTACGATCTGAAATAAGCTCACAGAGCTTGGTATGAACGTATGAGTAACTTTCTTTTAGAAAAGAATTTTACCAGAGGGAAAGTGGAAACTACCTTATTCAGAAAAACATTTAAAAATGACATTCTAATATGTCAAATACATGTAGATGATATTATTTTTAGAACTTCTAATGTCTCTCTTGGAAGAGAATTTGCTGAGTCTATGCAGGCTGAATTTGAGATGAGCGTGATGGGAGAACTAAAATTCTTTCTGGAGAATTCAAATTAATCAAACTCCAGAAGGTACTTACATACATCAAACAAAGTATGTTAAAGAACTTCTGAAGAAATTCCAGCTATCATAAAGTAAAGAAGCAAAGACACCAATGCATCCTACATGCATTCTGGGAAAAGATAAGGTAAGTAAGAAAGTAGATCAGAAACTCTACAGAGGCATGATTGGATCTCTTCTCTATCTGACTGCATCTAGACCAGATATATTATTCAATGTATGTTTATGTGCAAGATTCCAATAAGATCCTAGAGAATCTCACTTAATTGCTGTTAAGCGAATTCTGAGGTACCTGAAAGGTAATACTAACCTTGGACTGTGTTACAGAAGATCCAAAGATTTTAAACTAGTAGGTTATTGTGATGTTGACTTTGCTAGAATAGAACACAAAAGCACCTCTGGAAGCTGTCAGTTTCTGGGTGATAACATTATCTCATGGTACAACAAGAAGCAAGCCACTATTGCACTATCAACCACTGAAGCTGAATATATATCTGCTGCTGGATGTAGCACTCAGATGACCTGGATGAAGAGCCAGCTGAAAGATTATCATCTATATGAAAGTGAGATTCTTATCTTCTGTGATAATACCTCTGCTATTTATCTTTCAAAAAATCCCATCTTACATTCTAAGGCAAAACATATAGAAATTAAACATCATTTCATAAGGGACTACATTCAGAAAGGAATCCTAAGTTTAAACTTCATAGGCACAGACCATCAATGGGCTGATATTTTCACAAAACCCCTTTCTGAAGATAAATTTAAATTCATTTTGAAAAACATCAGTATGGAATTTTGTCCTGAATGAAATTTTTTTTCTCTCTATATGTGTTTCCAAAATGTTCTGAAATGAATGTTTTGATTAACTACTCTTCAAAAGTGAGAAGAGGAGTTACATCAGAAGCCATTCATCATGTTCTGAAATGTGTCTAACGTTTCATTACACGAATGGCTCAGAAGTTCATTATATTAAACCAGTTGTCACACGCTACCCTTAGAAGTTGAACGCGTGTTTCAACTCTGAAAGGTCACGCATGCGTGCGCTGCTATTCAGACGTCGTTCCTAGGTAACTGTTCAGATTTGATAAAAACTCACGCCTCCCCTCAATGTCATGTTTCATTAATCGCTAGTAATGATTTTTTTTTAATTTCAATCGTTTAAAATTCTTTATTGGTTTTATTACTCAAAAATTTTCTCAAGCTATAAATACCTTGCAAAATTCCCCTCTTTTACTTTTTACTCTCTCTCTCTCTCTCAAAGTTTCAATCGCCTCTGCATTTTATGCAAACTCTCTCTATTTTTTTCAAAATCCTAAACCTAAACCTTCAAGTTGCAAGATCTGTGCTATTTTTAGGTTCTTGAGAATTTCACCCAGTATCTGAATGCCTTCAAGACAGAAGTGGTAAATATCTGGGATAAACAATCTCCACTGCAGATTACCAACACTCCATTACTACTTGCTGACCACATGGAAATTTCATAAGATGAATCTGAAGATGATTCTGAGTCAGATCCCAATCCCTTGGAAATGACTTTGTATCACCAACCTTCTGCTAAAGTTGCTTCTGAGAAAGTGCCAACTCTTCTGATTGATCTTGGCACCCTCCTCCCCAATGTTGTAGGCTCAGGCTCTACTACTTCTGCTCTAAAGGTTGTATCTTCTGAAGCTGCTTCAACATTTGCCCCTTCTTCGTTGGTGATGGATACTCTGAATGAACTTAAGAAAGACAATGAAGCCATCCATGAACGTTTAGACAAACATGATGAAACCAACAAGGAAATCAGAACTTGGATGATGAAACAAGATAAATCCTCAAATGAAATCAAGAATCTTCTTCTTTCTCTTGTCTCTCGACAATCCTAGTTTTAATTTTTTTTTTAAAATTTTCTTGTTATTTTTGTTTTGTACCTTTGTCTTTTTGAATCTTCAATATACAAACATTTCGAATCTATTTATTTTTTTACTTTTTGATTATGACAAAAAGGGAGAGAAAATAAGATTTTAATCTGATCCATGATAACAACTATGGGACTAAGTCTCAAACATTTATAACAAAATACAAAGCTCTTTTCTATTTAAGAGATATGCAGGTACCTTAAGACTCTGAAAGACTAAGCTCTGAACATCATCTGGAAAAGAACTGCCAAAGAAACTCTGAAGAAAAGATCAGGAGCGCTTAAAGAAACTCTAAAAGAAAAACGTCTCAAAGCTCTGAAGAACAAATATAAGGAAGTTTCCCTTATGCCTTTAAAATCTTTGATTTTTTTTTCCAGAAGAAGAAATATCAATCTCAGGGGGAGATTCTCACTCTTGCACAATTTTTTTTCAAAATCTGAATTATTTTTGTCATCATCAAAAAGGGGGAGATTGTTAGAACAAAGTTTGGTTCTAATCATATCTTAGAGTTTTGATGATAACAATGAAATAAATTTTGTGAAATAAATTTTATACTCTGATGTGTATGTTCTCTAGATTCAGATGATGTTCTGACTCATGCATATCAAGAAAGAAACATCATTCTACATAAGTCTAAAGCAAACTCTGAAGGAAGTACTCCAAGGCAAACTCTGATGAAAAGCAATCCTAAGTAACCTCTGATAAAGCTAGCTGGAGCAAAGATTTGAAAGAAGCACGCTGAAAGAAACATCTGATAATGCAAGCTGAAGCAAACTCTGATGAACATAAAATGAAGAATACTCTGATAGAAGAATAGTTAAAGTAAACTCTGAAGTGGCAACACTGCAAGCAAACTCTTAAACTTCCAGAGACAAGTTCTGACAGTACCGTTGGTCATTTAATGCTAAGACAGCTAACACACTCAAGTGGTACTATGCACGAGAACATTGGAAACATAAAGACCAAGCTAACACGCTTCATTAATGAATACAATCTCTTCAAGGCAGTAACAGTCAAGACTGAAAGCTATATATAGAAGATCATTTGTTTCAAAGAAAGGTTACTGATCCACGAGAAACATACTAACGCTCACTGTTTTCATTCTTGTAAACTAATATTGTATAGTGGGTAAATCTTAAGTATCGGGCATCAATCTTAGTGATAAATCATAGTTTGTGATAAAGCTTATTAGAAGCATTCTGTTTCACTACTATTAAGAGATAGTTTTGTAAGTGTTCCTTGAGAGACCAGTTGGGTCAGAATTCTCAAGAGGGCTAGGACTAGTTAAGTCTTAGATGTGTTAGTCACTTGCAGTTGGCTTTTGCATTATATTGTTAGTCACAATAGTTTGGTTATGCATTTGTAATCAGTTTGATTATAATGGATTGAGTCCTCGTTGAGAGAGGCGAAATCACCTTGGCGGGTGGACTGGAGTAGTTTGAGTTTCAAATGAACCAGGATAAAAATACCTGTTTCCTTCCATTCGTATTGTGCGAAAAAAAGAAAAAACTTATTCAACCCCCCTTCTAAGTGTTTTCTCATCCTTCAGGCTTTGTGTATATAGAAGGCTGCCAACTCATTGTTTCATCATAAACATTATTATACTTCATATTTGAATGGACACTGGAAAAACTGACGTCAAGGTTTAGTGAACAAGGCTTTCATAAGATGTTGTTGTAAACACTCTTATAAGGGACTAATAAAAACAATAATTAACCGTCCTAATGCTTCTTCCTTCATAACATAACCATTAGTTTTATAAATCCACAAGGAGTGGTTATCGACTCATTGAACTTCTGAAAGTCTATGCCCGTGTAAAGCGACAAATTTTCATTCTTCAAGCCTTGTTTATAGAAGATTTCGACGTATATAATATTGCATAAGCTTCCTCGTTAATGAGAATCCTAGATATGCCGAAACTGGACAAGGTCCTCGTATTTACCAGCAGAAAGATCTCATTAGGGATACCATATACCCTATCACTATCTTTAAATCATTGGATAAGCCTCTCAAACTTCAAATCATGTAAAGTTTCTCTCTTTTCATCTACTGCCAACAACTTTACAAAATTCCATTTTATAGTCCCTCCAATGATGAAAGCAATGAAGTTATAACCTTCGGTGACAAATTCCATGGATGTTCACTTCTCCCTTTAGATTTATTCTTCCAATTCCCTTCTATCCTTGTCCTTACTTGCACCCTCCATTACCTCAATTGTTTTCCTAGGCGAAGTCTCCGCTTTCCCGGGAGATCGTTTCTTTTGTGTGTAAATATGTTTTTTGATATTTGTGATGCATATTTTGTAGTCATATTTTATCACATGCTATTTGTATTACCTTCCAAATATCCCATTCTTAATCAGCTTCTCTACGAATTATTTGTAACTGCATATCCCTAAAGGGAGTTGGTTGCATGTCCTTATCATATGCAGGGGAGAAATCTCGATACGATTATTTTGTTGCATGTCTTATCGCTTTCATCCATTATCTTTTATTCAATCTCCTTATAAATTACACACCATGAATCAAGTTTGAAATTGTTCTGTAAATCTTTTAGCATGTATAAACCTTTGGTTATGTTTGAACTTGCTCAATATGTTCTTAAAGTGCAAAAGTTTGTGGAATAAAAGCCTTGTGTGTTTAATTCAAATAAGGTGCAAAGGAAAACTTTAAAATCATGGAAAACTTATGATTTGATGTATTGATTTGAATCAATCATTTACACATAACATTTAATTCGAATCAAATCAAATAGAGGTGACCAAGTTTTCAAAAACCATTTGATTTAAATGAGGTTTTACACATGATTTGAATCAAACAACTTCCTGTCACTTCTGTCCAAATTGGTTCGAATCATACTTTGCACATGATTATAATCATGCAACTTTTTCTTGTTTTTCTAAAGTTCCTGATGTTAGACGAAGACAACTTATCTAGAAGGGGTGAATAAATACCAAGTTAAAAGTTCTTTTCGAAAAATTAGTTTTAAACTTTGGCAATCGAAAACCACTTGGATCATATATTGTCTAATTTGAACATCGAAAAGCTCAGATATGCGTTAAAATAATGTTATGTGAAATGATAATGATCATTAATTGAGACAATATATTTTCACAAATAACGCATTTGAATATGATCACAATAGAAACATGTTTCTAATGAAATCTAATACAATAAACACAAAGAGTCAAATTATCAAATACTCGGTGTATAATTGGTGTTGGTCAGATTTTTCTAATTGTTTTGTTGATTTCAAAATCCAATTATAATGCTATGGATTTTAATCAACTCAACAAAACAGTTTTGAATCTACCAAATATTTATCTAGACTTATCAATTGCACAATCAATGAATTCAATAATTTACAATTATATATATATATATATATATATATATATATATATATATATATATATATATATATGGAGAGAGAGAGAACGAGGATTTGTTTAGGCAATTCACCAATCGTCCTCTCTAAAGCTATGTCTGTTCTTAATTCCGTTCGGAAGTGAGATAATCAATCTTACTTTACAAAAATTGTTTACAAGAGAAATGTAGCAATCCAACCTTACATATCCTATGTTTAATGTTGACCCTAACAATTTCTTTTCCCTTAATCTGAGCTTGATCAAGAACCCAACAAAACCAATTTGATCCCCCTTCTCACGCTATTCCTTCTGCCGAACCCACCGTTCTTCGAAGTTTTCACTTGGCTGAATCAAAATTGCGAATTATTGTCACCCAATATTTTCAATCGATCCCCCGTCTTATGCTACTGCTTTGCAAGAAACCCCGTTCTTCAAAGCTTTCACTCGGCTGAATTCAAATTGCAAAATCTTGTCAAAAACTCCTAAATCAACACCTTGATCTTAGTGGACAAACCCTATGGATTTTCCCAATGAAACCCCCAAAGATTCTCTACCCAATTTACCGGTACACAAACCTAAATTAGACATTATCAACTCAGATTCTAGATGGCACCAAAACAAAGAATGATTATGTGTAATTTGTTTGTTTGTATGCATAGAATATGAGAGGTTGAAGATGAAGAGTAATACTATGTATGAGAGGTTGAAGATGAAGAGTAATACTATATATATATATACACACGCACACACACACACGACACTCATACAAGTCATGTGTCGACGACATCTTTGAAGCATGAGTTGACCTATATAGGTCAGTGTGTTGACACATGCATTACAGAGGCTACATGCTTTAAAAATGAACAACATATGTCGACTCAAAACTCGTATGTGTCGACTCATAGAAGATTTTTTCTTCTATGTGTCAATCTGAAGGACACTATATGTCGACACCTGCAAACAAAAGCCACAAGTTTTAAAAAAGACCCACATGTGTTGACTCATAACATGTATGTGTCGACACATGGACTTGTTTTTCTCATAAAAATCTATTTTTAACGCATGCAACCTTTTCTAAACCATTCATAAGTTTCCTAATACTAAGATGCACATTTAGACTCAGAGAATATCGTCCAATATACATAAATGCTAAAATGTTATAATTTTGACATCATACAATGCATTTCTAATAGGAAGGTGCACTCAAATTCTCCCCCTTTTTGACGATGACAAAACTTGTGACGATGCATTTGATGTCTTCATGAAGGCTCCCCCTGAATGTGTGCATCATTACCTTTGTCTTGCATATGCTTCTCCCCCTTTAACAATATCAAAAAGAGACAAATCAAGCCATGAGAAGTATCACATAAGTCCAAAAAAAATACATATACCATATATTAAAATCACACAAAGACGTTTGCAAAGAAAGAACGTGCACTCACATACACCACATACGTGAATTTACACAAAATTAAATACTTAAACATATATATAAGACAATTTAAACAACACAGTAATATTTTCATCCCAAAAGCCATTACAAATAACATAACCATGTTTCAATTTAAAGAAGTGATAAAATTGTCAATACATAACCATAAAGCCAAAATAAGAAAAACAAAACAAAAACAAAATGCATGATCACCTAAAACCACGAAATGCAAGACATAATTTCTCCAAAAGAGTTTTGACCCAAAGACACAAAAGTTCATCACTTCAACGTCCTCCACGACCTCTAGGCATTGACCTCACACCATGATACCAACCATATCCTTCATTTCTAAAGTGATGGTCCAAGAAATTGCACATCTCCCTGTAAAATTGTGCATAGTGGTAGTGATTCTCATTTTGAGAAGAAATCATATGGTTTATCCTTGCATTCGTGGAAGCATGATTAACATCCATCTCATTACGCTCAGAGAGAAGCTTTTCAGAGACATACGAGGCAAATGCTTCAAAGTTGGTGTCTTGTGTTGTCATGTGCTTATGAAGAAGACGAAATCGTTCCTCTTGAGCTGCCTCAAAAGCATCTCGCCTACGACAATCCTCCTCGTAGCGCTCATCTCGCCTAACCTGCATGTTTTGAAGCATAATAATAACAAAAGTGTCATTTCCATAGTAAACACCAATCCCACTACCTTGACCAACCCCTGTTCAACATCTTGCACATCTGCATCAACCTGTGGAGCTCCATGAGGAGTATCAATAAGTTGATCATCAATCATATGTGGCTCAGTAACAACATCAACAAACTCAACAGGGTCATCAAAGTTACAAATTTTCTTACCATTCTTGCTGACACAGAAGTAATACAAATGACGATCTTTATCCCAAAAGTATCCCATGTTGGTTAAAGTGCACTGAGAGAACTCTAGAGCCATACTAGGTGATCTATACTGAAGATTTGGAATCCCGATGTTGAAGTGCTTGAGGATTTTAAAAATCATGGAAACGTAATAAAATGACGTTCCTTTGTTACAATCTTTGATGCTAAACATGCGAGAGACAAAGTAATTTACCCAATTAATCTAGATTTTGTGAAGAAGGATGTAGACAAGGTGGAATTCAGGTTGGTCGACCCTTGAGTGACCACCGTTCTTTGGGCGTAACACATGAGAAACAAGACAATTCAAAATTCGAGGGACTTGTTTCAAATGACCAGTTGTTACGGGTTCAGACTAGCCTTTGGTCTAAGGAGCCCTTAACATTTCATTTGTATGAATGCGCCATTTAAAATATTTATGAAGATTGTTATTCGTCATCAATGATTCAACATCAACACCAACAACAATGAAGATTGTCAAATGTATTAAAAAAAAATCAAATTTACTTATAAATATGACCGAAGGGTGTAAATCAAATCAAATATCTAAATTACTAACCATAAAGAAACATTAATTAACCAATCGCCAAACAACTCTAATTTCATAACAAAATAATTATTTTTTACTAACTTTCCATTTGAATAAAATTTAGACAAAACTCTCAGACAATATCACCTTTAATATAGACCCAAATTTTCTAAAAATAAAAAAAAACCAAAATCTTCATCAACTATTCTTGAATTACATAATTTCCTCATCTTGTCTTTTTAGTCCTAAATTCTTTAGGAGTTTTGTACAATCCCTAACACACATAAACTAGAGAATGACAATTAGACCATTAATTATACCTCTAATTATATCCATCCTAGTTTCACTTCATTAAAAGAAGCACTTTCCTTTAAATCCCTAAGAAAAAGAAAAGTACTAGTAGAGTATTTATGGTTATAGATTATTGACAATAATTAAATACTATACTATAGTACTAGTAGTTTAATTAAAATAAGCAAAGCAAGTATGTTAGTGTTAAGTGAGCCGTGTGATTAACCGTAACCCAAAAGTAATAAATGAGTGAAACGAATCCCACAATATCTCAACTAAAAGGAGGTTTCAAGTCCGACGCGACGCGACGCAAACAGCTAACAACTCCGTCCAATCATCCTTCCTCTCAATGCCACACCACCCACCGCCTCTTCTTCTTCTCAGGTCCTCTCTCTCTCTTTCTCTCTCTAGATTCCCCTTTCTCTCTCCACCGACATTCCAGATCAATGTCGTTTTCCCCTTTCATATTTTTTTCTAGGTTTTCCTAATTTCTTTGTTATGTTACTTGCATTGTTGTTCATTCGGTGTTTGGATCTCGTTATTTTGCTTTTGATTGTTGATTTTTCTTCTTTCAATTTCTAGGTTTTAGATCTCTACAATCGATTAAGATTCTGTTTGTTTCTGTGTAGGTGTTGAAATGAATACTGTGATGAATAATAGAACGGTTCACAATGATGACAAGCCTTTTCCTGGTTGCTTGGGAAGAATGGTTAACCTTTTTGATTTGACTACTGCTACTGGAAATGGCAACAAGCTTCTCACCGACAAGCCTCACCGTGATCATGGTTTTCTTTTCCTCTCTAATTATACTCTTTTTTTTTCTTCATTTTTAGCCATCAAATTTATTGCTTTACCTTTTACAGGTTTATCATTGGTTTTCTTTTGTTGGGGTTTGGTAGACAGTAGAAATTGGTGGGTTATAGTTTGTAGGGGATGATGATTAGTAGAGGAAACGTAACAAGCTGTTTATTTTGTAGCTTGTTTGCCCTTTCCTATTTTCCTTCTAGTTGTAGTTGTAGTTGTAGTTTTGTTATTTATTTATTTATTTATTTTCGTTTGTGTCTTCATTGTTGAGTTTTGGATAGACAACTCTCTTAATGACCTGTCTGGTTTTTTGTGTTTAGCTGACTTTAGCATCATAATTCATAAAACCCAGTCAATTGCTTTTATATATTTTTCCAACTTGTTTGTAATAATTGTACTTGCGGTTTTGCTATTGGAATTGTTCTATACCATTTATGATTTGCCATTTTGATCTCACTGCGTTATAACTGACTTGTAGCCGCATCTCTTTCGAGAAGTCAATCAGATGTTTCGAGGATTGCTAGTCCTTCGTTTGCTGATCAGATGGAAGATAGGCCGGTAATTTGAAAAGGATAACTATATTTTTTTTTTGTTAGTAAAGTTTATTTGGTGCCATTCAAAGGAAAAGATAAATGAGATGATACTGTCATGTGGAGTATTCTTCTTATTTTTAATTTACTCTGTACTTTGCTGTAGTTGTTTTGATTTTTTCCCCCATTTTCATGGACGTTGCAGATTGTTTCTAACTTAATGAGAGTGTCTTCAAATAAAAAAATAAATGGAACACCCATCAAGATGCTCATGGACCAAGAAATGTCCAAAGAAGTTGTTTCCAAGCACAATCCACCAAATGTTGTTGCAAAGTTAATGGGTCTTGAAGCCCTTCCACAGGGAAAACGTAGTTTACTCGTGGAGAGAAGCCCTGGAGGAGATTGTTCTCAGCACATGTGTGGTCATTCTGGGACATCATTCAATCATCGGCAGTTGGATGATAGGTTTATGGACAAGGAAATGCTTCATGAAATTTATCCGAGCAGAGAACAGGTTGCTTACAAAGATATTTATGAAATATGGCTGCAATCACAGAGAACAAGCAATATAAACGACAAGACACCAGAGAGAGGGAAGTGGGCTGAAGATGTTAATGAGAAGAAAATGGCTTTTATTCGTCAAAAATTCATGGAAGCAAAACGACTGTCTACAGATGAGAGATTACGCCAATCAAAGGAGTTTGATGAAGCCTTGGAAGTTTTAAGTTCAAATAACGATCTGTTAATCAGGTTATTGGATTCTCAAAATCTATATGAACGACAGTCTACTCCTTTGGCTGAGACAAAGCGTATTACTGTTCTTAAGCCTTCAAAGTTGGTTGACAATGAAAAGTTCAGTAGAAAGGGAAACAATAGTGACAAACATATTAAGAAACCATTAAATAATGATGCTGCATGGGAGAGAAATAGTCCTGGATACTCTCCTGCCAGTCAGAAAGTTGATGAATTTCCTGTTCAGCCTACTCGAATAGTGGTATTGAAGCCTAGTTCTGTGAGAGCACATGATATTAAGGCCTTGGTTTCTCCAATGTCATCGTCACCTCAAAATCTGCAAAGTGGAAACTTCTATCACGGCCCTGAAGATGATGATGATCTACTTGAATCAAGAAAAGTGGCAGAAGAAATTACACAGCAGATGCATGAAGACCTCAGGAGCTATCAAAGGGATGAAACCGTGTATTCTCCAGTATTTTCCACGGGATATATTGGTGATGACAGTTCATTCTACAAATCAGATCATGAGTGTACTGCAGGGAATTTTAGTGATTTGGAAGTCATGTCACCATCTCCCAGGCATTCTTGGGATTTCGTCAATCGCTGTGGAAGTCCTTATTCTTCGTCATCCTTCAGTCGTGCTTCGTGCTCTCCTGAATCATCAGTAGGCAGAGAGGCCAAGAAACGACTTTCTGAAAGATGGGCCATGATGGCATCAAAGAAGGATCTTCAAGAGCAAAGACATATGCGGAGAAGCTCCACCTTGGGTGAGATGCTTGCTCTTTCAGATATAAAGAAATCTCTAATATCCGAGGTTGAAGGTATTAATGAAGAACAAGAACCTAGGGAATCTGTTTCTTGCAGTAAAAATTCTAATGATGAAGAAATATCTCCGGAAGGGTCCACTAAAAGCCTTCCCAGGTCAAAGTCTGTCCCTGTATCTTCCAATGTCTATGAAAACGGGCTCTACATTGAAGCTTGTAATAATGACGCTGGTAAAGCACACGGCTCCAAGGAGCTGACGAAGTCAAAGAGTATGAAGTCAACATTTAAAGGGAAAGTTGCGAGTTTCTTATTCTCAAGGAATAAGAAGTCAATCAGAGAAAAATCTTGTCTATCTCATTCTACAGACGAGTCTCAATCAACTATTGCAGAAACATCAGTATCTACAATAAACTCACCTGAAGTCTTTAGGAATGATGTGTCTCAAAGCTTCAACGGTGGGTCCTTTGAAGAGTGTTCCCTTCCAGCTCTATGTGAATCATCAAGCAAAACTTTATCCAATCCTGTCTCTAGCAGACGAGGCGTAATATCTATGGAGGTAATAGCAAATATTGTTCCACATACTTTATCCATGTTTTCATAGTGCATTATGCAAGTTTTCTCTATTGGCTACCTAAATTAACTCATTAATGTCGTCAACTATGCTACTTCTCCACCTAACTACTAAATTTAGTCCCTAGAAACTTGCTCTGATTTAGAGATGCTTTCATGTGTGGTATACTGTGAAAGAAATTGGATGACATGGTGGCAGGTTCTATGTAAGCAAACAATTTGACAAATTATTTAGGGATTTCGTATGTGTTTAAAATAGTGTAAATAATTAAAACAACACCTAGTTATGAACATTATAGGGCTTGTGATGAATAATAGAAATGTTTCTTCTCAGTCTGCCTAGACCTAGCACTGCGAAGCAGTGTTTTTGATTTTTTGTCAAAGATTATGAAATGATGAATTAAATGCCATATACCCTGGGTTGATATTTCTGATAATCTGTTATATGTACTGGAAGTTGGTAAAAGATTCTGAGACTGTTTTGTTTGTTTTCACAGCCTGAATTTACCACGTCAAAGCCCACGGTGACAGGGATTTCGAGTGAAAACCAGGACCAGCCAAGTCCAATCTCAGTTTTAGAGCCTCCTTTTGAAGATGAACATGCAGCTCATGAGTCTTTGGACTGTATGAAGGGTAGTTTGCTGGGTAATGCTTAAAGCCTTGCTTTCTATTTTATCCCGAAGCTGCTCTTTCAGCATGTTCTTATTTTATTTTGATTAGCCAGCATGTTAATTATTTGAAAATCCTTGTCTTTATTGGTTTATTAACTTGATTGTCATCTATTCTGTAGGATCACGGGTGTCTCTGAAGTCTAATTTAATTGACAAATCACCACCTATAGAATCAATAGCTCGAACCCTCTCATGGGATGGTTCTTGTACGGAGGTGGCAAGACCTACATCCGTTTCCTTAGACACCAAGGTAGAGGATCAAGACCTGCTCGTCTTCGTT